CAGTGTCATGGGAGTTTGTGCTGTTGTTCCACTGAATTTGCTCCGCTCCTCTCTTGACCGCATTAGGCTTGTAGTCCTCGATTGTGACCTGTTTTAAGTTTCTGTTTCTACTCTGATTGTGGTACCCAAACCTGTGTGTCTTCATCGATGTCAAAAAATCATTAGCATAAGCGATTAAATCGACATAGCTTCAAGTACTAAAATCCAGTCATCTTTGTGTTGAGTCACGAAAATACCGCTTTGTTGCCAAAGTCAACAAACCTCATCTCTTTTCCTCTGTACTTATCGTTGTTCGTTTAGCTTGTATTTATCTTTGCCTCGGCCGGAAGTTGGTCGACGGTTCAGGCGTGGACCTCGGGCACTTTCCTCATCTGTAACGGCGGTCGTCGAACTCGGTCCCTCGCTCGATCACCGCCTTCCTTTCGGCCGCATGTCAGGCAATGATTTAATACATGGTTTTTTCTTAGCCTGTGCGTTTGCCGGCCGATTCCGACGTTCCGTCATTCTTTCGACAGCCGGCGGCCGTCGGCCAGCGCCCGGCGGCGGACGCATTCCGTCGTCGTTCCGTTCCCAGTGGCGATCGTCGTCGGCCTCGAAGGTCGACGCGCTCTTCGTCGTTATTCTCCTCATGATCGATGAGTTGCTCTTTCGATTTGTCGCAGTACGACGACGATGGCCATCGACGCGCTCTTCGTCGTTATTCTCCTCATGATCGATGAGTTGCTCTTTCGATTTGTCGCAGTACGACGACGATGGCCATCGACCTGAACAAAAACGCAAAACGTGCCTGACGTTTGTGGTTTTGATGTCTCTCCAAAGTCAGTCGAGGTGGGTGCCGGAAAACCGGTGACCCCGGTTGGAAGGTAGGGAGGGAAGGAGGGAAGAACGACAGGAAAGTTTGTGAGGCCGTTTCGATGTCGATTTCCTTTATTTACACTTCCTTGATTGGCGCTACTTTCTATCGCTGCCTGATCAAACGGCTTTGTGGTCAGCTGCAAATACCTCGTTTTCTTAATCGCTGTATACACAGTTAGACAGCTACTGTGGTTTGTCATCTCCTTGCTTCTGTTTCATCAGGAAACTTTCGGATTTTCGGACTGCAGCTGACCGG